ATTCTTAAATACAGTTTCTTATCAGTAAGTCAACAGTTCAAGTTCAGTAGAGGTAACAAGTAGGTAAATGTTCAGCAAAGTACCTGGGAAGCATCGTGTCCACCGTTTCGAATCACAATTATCATCAGCACTTTACAGTTGGTACATAAGTTTATCAGATAGTAGATTATATTATTAAGCAACTTGCTTGTCATTAGTCGTAGGCTCCGTCACACTGCAACTGGCTCCATGTTCAATTCACGAGTGACAATGATTTTTTCTTAAGTTTTTCAATCTAATAATTCTAGACACCTAGTACATGAAGGTAATCAAAACACTGATATCATAACAGGGGCGTAGGTAGGGGGGCTCCTGGGGTGCCCGTGACCCCCCCGGCTTTTGTGAGCTTTTTGGAGCGAACAACCTACAACAGGTGGCGAAAACGACATGACAATCTGATGAGTACCCTCACTTTGACACAGCGTGACCCCCTTTGAAAAATCCTGGCTACGCCCCTGCATGATAAACAGTAAGACATGTAGTAATCCTTACTAAGTAACTTATCACATTATATGGCTAGTTCCGTGAGCGGGCAAGATGGGTCAAAATCCTAGGCTGTGATTGGCTACCCAAGCAAGCAAGATAAAGCTATCTTGCCCGCTCGGGACCACCCGCCGAGTCCCGCAAGAAAAATTTCCCCGAAAGCCATATAATAAATCCTTTATTGACCAATCTTGTTCGGTCAAGATGGTTTGATATTGGCCTCGTTCATTTTTTGCGAGTTTATGGACCTCGGCTCCGTCTCGATCCATAAACACGCAAAAAAAAGAACTTGGCCAATATCCAGCCATCTTGACCACACACTTGGTCACTAACCCATATTTTCCGAGTATCATGCTGACTTACAATCTCTGTATCAGTTACTTATTGGATATACCCCTTAACACGCCCCAAGAAAGGCATCCGTTAATATGTATGTATCTTGATGTCACTTTCTTTGCAATCCACCATAATGCTGTCTTCCATAATAGTCCATTCTGAAACAAAAGAAACCCTGGTTAAAACAAGTTCCTAGTAGGTGTCATCAAAGGAGATGTATGCAAAGCAGAATCAACGATCGCCATGTTTTTAGTTCCTAACTTTTGAAGATGGCCAGTAAAACTGAACAAACGCATTTCGAACTCGGAACAATAGGGAAACGAACACAGCATTTTTTAATGAAAAACAAGTGATGAAAGTTTCTGTGATCCTGCGAAAATAATATAACTGATTCTTATTCTCACGTTTAGACGAAAAGATGAGCTCGAGCCACAAATATAACTTCGAAAGTAATTATTCCTTGGCTAACATATCCAACCAAAAGTAGTAGTAACTCTAGATCCAGCTGTATATATACCTGTTGTGAGAGGCGGCCTTGTTTCAGCACAAATTACAGCTTTTCCTACAGTTGATTTGCATGTACTTGGTGTAGCCTTCATTCCGGTGCCGGCAGTATCCCACATACGCCCACAGATAGCAATAACTGCTTCTGTTCCTGCAGAAGCTTATCACGGGACGATCTGATGACGTAACTAAGATAAAATAATTCTGCATCATTTGACTGAGTAGTGCCAGAACTGATCTTGTATTAGTCATAAAATGGCTGAATAAGCTCTTTAATAAAAGTCAACATCTGGCCATATTTGGTAAAATATAAACAGCGCGGATTAATTTGGTTTTCTGTTCAGTTCAAAACAACAAAATAGTCAGCAGAGGTAACACAGACGTTTGGGCCATGGCCCTACTTCGGTCTGTTGAAAATCAGCCTTTCATATTAATTTCGTCACAGGGGTCCTACATTAGGAGAGTTTTTTTTCTGATTTCTACTGACGATTCATTTAAGAGAACTTCGTCGTAAACTGATGACGTTTTCTTTCGTAGTTGTTATTCATATTTAGTAAATATAAACACAGCAGGGATTTGTTTTTCTGTTTTAAAACAAAAAAGTCAGAGGAGGCAAACTACAGAAGCAAACAGAACGGCGATAAATCAGTTTCATTTGGAAAAATCTTAAATCATCCTTTGAGACCAGGAAGTGACCAATATGTTCCCTGGTGCTTTCCCGGGGTGCTTCAGCCAATTACGTTTGTACTTTAACGACCTTAATGTGCTTTTTTTGGTGACGAAACTCATGTTGGGTTATGAACTTAGAAAATATTTATCGTCCAGAGAATCACAAAACACCGTTGGGAGCATTCTGGTATACTAGTCTAGTATGCAACAAGTCATGTTCAGACGTCTCTTACTTATCACTTATCAGCACCTAGGAATACCCAATTATTACGCAGGAAGTCAAATTGAACTATTTAAAAACGTAATCACTAGTTAACTACTGGTCTTTAAGTATTCAATCCCTAGCCGTATCAGGACCAGTTTACCTGTGGTTGTAGCCTCTGTAGTCGTGCTTGCTGTGGTGAAAGAAGAACATTTGTAAAACTTGTTGATCTTTTTTATGTCTGTTTTGCTCAGTGCGACACGCTGGCCGATAGAGGCGTTTCTATCTTTTGGTACGATCGTTGGGTGGCCATTGCTACTGAAGGCATATTTTGGATAGTGCATTATGGAGCCATAGTCATACGGAAGATCCAAAGGGTCCGCTTCTCCGTGGCTGTATTTTTGAAAGTTATAGTGTTGGTCTAAAAATACAACAAGATACATTGATGAAATGGCTAAGAAATTACTGCAACTAGTGCCACAAATTTTTCTGTTCAAACGCCTATAAAACAGTGAAAGTGAAACTTAGATGACTTTCTACTACCATCAAATTATCAATTGTAACTTGTCAGCAGTCAGCATGATTGTTCTTCCAGGAGCGCAGGCACATCCTTCAGCATCTCACCTTTGTCAACATTACTCCAGTGAACAGTGACATATTTATCTCTGTCAAGCCGGGACTGTTCATGGAAGAATCCCAGGACGTGCATAAGTTCATGTAAGGCGACACCTTTCCGCTCACAACCTTTCCCTAGAGATAGTCTTTGTTTACCACCATTGCGACCGATAGACGACCAGCAACTGTCAATAGATAATCAATTGATATCCTGGGTTTAAATAATTTTAATAAGAAACAGAGCACAAAAGAACAACTAACGACGGCCAGTCAGCAAGCCAGATGGTTAGTCAGTCTGTCCGTACTTCCGTTCTTCCGTCAGTCTGTCAGTCAGTCCGTCCGTCCGTCTGTCACTCCATTTACTCAATCAGTCGGTCGGTCAGTGAGTCAGTGAGTCAGTGAGTCAGTCAGTCAGTAGTCAATCAGTCACTTAATAATAAAGAGGAAAAGGTAATGACAAAAAGTATGGTTATCACCACAGTAAGAGGGGGACACTAAACATGCTGATGAACTTCTTTCGTCGATTAATAAATATTTACGGGGACAGAAAAGACTTGGCACTCATAGCACTTACTTTGTTCCATGAGACACGATGTGGATGTAGTCCTCTTCTTGTTTCCTTGGAACAAATCTGATGCACGTGTGCTTTTCAAGTTCAAGGATTGCATTTTTAACAGCTTCCTTAACAGACGAACCTGAAAGTAAGTGGTAAGGTTTGGTATCGGTCTGAACTAGCTTACGTGTAGCCGTACCCACCCCCCGGGAAAAACGGGAGGGAGGGAACGTTCCCTCCCTCCCGTTTTTCCTCGGGGGGTGGGTACGGCTACACATAGGCTAGGTCTGAACCGGCGCTTAGGAGTATCATAACGAATAAGGACAGCCACTTACTAACTGCTCCAAAGTTATACGGTATCTTGTCGGAAGGCCATTTTCGATTTGGAGTAGAAATGGCACTACGAACTTTGCGCCTCCGTAGGTTCTTGAGTAGGTCCTGTGTGGTCTGGTCCAGCAATATGTCGCCTTCAAAAATCCTTGTGCTTTTAACTGCAAGAAAAAAATATCTTTGTCAAATTATCACACGGATAGAAGTTACAATTAGAGCTGGTTCCACTCCAAAGTAAGTGGGAGGCGCGGGGGCCTCATGGTTAGTGCGCTCGTCTCCGGATCGAGCGGTCCGGGTTCGAGCCCTGGCCGGGGACATTGTGTTGTGTTCTTGGGCAAGA